TCCCAGTGAACACACCATCTAGACTACTAGTCTTTTTATTGTAACACGTGACTTTAATAAGGAGCTTTAATACAATTTCCATAAATGGAAGGGGTATACTAATTACAATAAATTAGAGGTTGGCATGGAAAATGTGTTGCAGTTTCTATAACCAAAATTCTGGTATAAACAAATAAAATCATAATATAAAAGTTAATGTCTTGTTCAAAAAAGGGCATATCAAAAAATAATTCATTCAGTATAGGAATTGAATCACTGATAGTCATTTATAATAGTAAAACTAGAGTATGCCCACCCACCTTGTCTGTCACTGTGACCGCCAGTTAGGTAACAAGGGGCATCATCAGTGCAATCATCTCCATGGATTCAGAGAAAGACTGCTGCTGACAGTCAGCTCTTTAGTTGGAGTTTGTGTTATGTTTATACCTCTTAGGCTTTTTGTTTTCTTTCTTTTTTTCTTTTAGATTTTTTAATTCATTTTACTTCCCAGCCACAGTTTCCCCTCTCTCCCCTCTTCCCACTGCCCTCCACATCCCCCTCAACCAACTCCCATCCACTCCTACTTAAGAGTAAGATCTCACATGAGGAGTCAACCAAACCTGACACATGAAGCTGAGGCAGGACCAAGCCCCTCCCTCCTGCATCAAGGCTGGCAAGGCATCCATCCCACTGTAGGGAAGGGACTCCAAAAAGCCACCTCCGGCACCAGGGATAGACCCTGGACCTACTGCCAGGGGCTCTCAAACAGACCAAATTACACAAGTGTCACCCACAAGCAGAGGGCCTAGTTAGTTCCCTTGTTGGCTCCCCAAGCTGTGAGTCTAGAGACCTCCAAGATTGCCCATGAGCTCCAGTCAACTGTCTCTGTGGATTTTTCTTGGTGTCTGTTATAGATAGGGGGTCAGTCTCCCTGGAGTCAACCTGGTCTGAAGGCTGAGTGACAGAGTCCTGTGCACATGGATGAGACCCTAGGGAGAGCTGTTCGCCTCTCTGTATATGCGCTCATCTCCAGGGGCACAAAGCACTAAAACTCTGATCCAGCACACCGAGACCACCCAAGGGATGCTCAGAAAGATGCTGTTAGTGGGAAGGGTACCAACAGTGAAAGGAGACCAACACAAAGTTCCTGAAGTTTTCTAAATTCTCCAGACACAGACTGATGTACAAAGATCAGCATATTCCCTGAGAGAAACCTGGGAACAAGCTCGGTTGTGGAGTTAATAGAGAAAATCATAAACCACTCCAGAAGGGTATGTAAGGACATGTCAGAAGTTGCAAAGACCTCCAATGCTCACAGGTAGAAAGGATTTATATTGTTTTCATGGCCACCCAATACAGAAAGAACAGCGCAGATTCAGCATACTCTCTCAAAACATCCATATGACATTATTCATGAATCTACAGAGAGAAATTCTGAAATTCATACAGAAACAGAAGAGACGCTGAATGGACAAAGTAGCATTGGGTGGAAACAAGAATGTTAGAGACATGGCAAAGCCCGATTTTAAAACTCACCAGAGTCTTAGTAACCAAATGAGCATGACACTGATATTACATTAGATGCTAGACCCATGGAATAAAATGGGAGGATCCCGAAGCAAATCCATGCAGTTAGAGATCATCGATTCTTTTTATTTATTTTTTAAAACAATCTTTTTAAATTTTACATTCCAATCCCAGCTGCCTCTCTGACCCCTTCCTCAATTCTTCTCATATTCCCCTACCCCAACCCCATCCATTCCTCAGAGAGGGTGAGGCCTCTCATGGGGGTCAACAAAGTCTATCATATCACTTGAGGCAGAACCAGGTCCCTTCCCCCTGTATCTAGGCTGAACATAGGTAATGGGTTCCAAAACGCATGTTCATGCACTAGGAATAAGTATTGGTTCCAAGGCCCCACAAACTGCCCAAACCACATAACTGTCACTCACATTCAGTGGGCCTAGTCCATTCCTATGCAGTTTCCCTAAAAGAAGACAATTGATTTTTGACCAAGCACAAAAATAAATAAAAAATAAATAAAAAAAATTAAAAAAATTTTTCAAGTGGTGCTGGGATAAAGACTATCTACATTAAGAAAGTAGAAACGAGTTACCTGTTTCTGTCCTGGACAAACTCAACTTAAAAGGAAACATAGTGCTGCTGAAATGTATAAAACAATACAATTATTTCTTAAGTAAGACTCAAGAAATAAAAGCTAGAATTGGCACCCAAGCTTGTACCAAATAGAAAAGCTATGTAAAAGAACATGTACAATCAGCAGATAAGGAAACAACTCCCACACTTAAGGCTCAGGAAGCATCAGGAGGAGGAGGCAGAAAGACTGTCAGAGTCAGAGGACCAGGAATTACACCCATGATGCCTCAACAATATGGCTGCTAAAATAAGGCCTGAACAATGATACTAGCAAGAGATGTGCTAACTTGGAAGGGAGGGACTTTCATGGGGCTCCACCCCAGACAAAGAAATACAGGCAACTGATGACTGCTCAAGGAGAGAGACCCAGCCTTTCCCGGGGATGAACCCCTAAGTGCTTATCCAAAGAAAGTAGTCAGCCTCGAATCGTATACACAAAAGGCACACTAAATAAACATGTGTGTGTGTGTGTGTGTGTGTGTGTGAGAGAGAGAGAGAGAGAGAGAGAGAGAGAGAGAGAAAATGAGAATGATTCAAAAAAAGGAATTCACCAATATGAAAAGGATTTGGAGAGCGAAGAGAGGTTTCAGGGAGGAGATATGGTAGGGTTTGATGGATGAAAGGAAAGAGGGAAGTGATCTAATTATATTTTAATTTAAAATTTTTTAACTAAAAAAATTTAAGAAAGATCATGAACAGAAGGGTAGAAAATGATTGCCAGTCATTCATCTGAAGGAAGACAAATAATCAAACTTGTGACAGCTGATATTGGTTATCAACTTGTTTAGCTTGAGAAGACATCAGATGAGCAAAGCGCATTTCTGGATGTGTCTGCACAGGAGATGACTCTCCCTAAATGTGGTTGGGATCATCCTGTAGGCTGGTGCCCAGGTGGAGTAAATGGGAGGAAGAAAGGGCCAGCCTGCATAGGCATCCCCTGGGGTCCTTACCACCATAGTGCTTGCTGCTTAGCAGGGCTATGCCCTCCCCACATGATGGGCTGAGAAGGCCATACTCATCAAAATAAAAGCTCTTACTCCTAGTCTCTTTATTTTATGTATTTGTCACGGTGACAGAACGTCTGGTTAAAAGCATTCATACCAGGCGTAGAGTCGCTGATAGGACTATTGCATAAGGTCTACAAGGACTTTTGACAGTTGGAGATATGGAGAAGAGGCTGTTGTAAGCAGAACCAGAAGGCAGACACGAGTGTTGAGCCTTAGGCTTTATGTGGCAATGAGACTCTACTGGGAACTGAGCTGCCAGGCCTCTAGTAGAGGATGATATGAATGTGTCACAGGAAAAGTGTAAACTTATTTAAAGCATTACGAGATTTTGGGTGTTTTCTGTTTGTTTGTTAAGTTGGTTTTTGGTAACCCGATAGGCTAGTTCTAGAGTGTGACCTCCATAAATAATGCCATGTTTTAGTGTTAACACATTGGAAATGTCTAGGAGAGACTATTGGACAGTGGGCAATAAGGAACTTGTCTACACTGTTCACAGCCTATGACTTGTTTGTGACTGAGTTTAAAGGGGTTTTAATAAAGTTGTTGGTGGAAACTACCAACAGAAAGGTATTTATGCCTGGCTAGGTTTTGGTGGATGCTGGTAGCTTGATCTGCAGTGAACTCAGCATCAAACAGCAATAAGAACTCATGCAGTTTGCTGGCAAAAATCCATTTGATGTTGGAGACAAGGAAATTGTGGTGGAGGATCAGATTAAGATTTTAAAAATAAGCCATACATTTTCATCTGGAAGGAAAAATATTTTTAGGGCATCATAGGAATTATTATTATTATTATTATTATTAAATTACATATAATATATAATAATTATATAATAATAGTTAATACTATATTATTATTAGTTCCTACCTATTGCTCTTAAGAATGTAAAAATTCATTTTGGGAAGAGAATTCTCCACGGTGTTCTAATCACACAAGCCACAAGAGAGTTTGCCTGCATTCTGACACCTAGGCCCTCAGGGCCTCCTACAACTGCCTTATCAGAGCCTGCCTGCTCCACCACTTGGGGTTAGACTTTGCCATTATCTGTGATGCTGCTTCTGCAAGCACACAGAATGCAAATTGTTGGTTCGTGGAAGCCTTGACATGCATTTAAAGGAAAAGCAGACATTGTGTGCCAAGATCTGAATAACCATCAGCAGTCTATATGAAAGCCAGAGATGAAGCTATGAGCATGAAGCCAGAGATGGGACAGAGAACCTAGGAGATGGTCAGAAAGGAAAGGAATATTTCACCAAAGAGAGCACAGCTACAGACAGTAAGCAGGGCTAGTTCAAACATGTTAAAAAAGGCTATATGCATCACAACTGCCAGGCCTGTAGAGTAGATTCTGTCCTTCTGGTGCAATATGCCATGGGTGTAGGCATGAATATAAAGAGCCTGATGATTGCCCTGCTATCTTTCAGTCTTCTTTTATCCTTATTACTGCTTTATGCGACCCAAATCTACCACCTTTGAATGGCAGTATATATTTTATGACACTGTGTCATTCAGGTGTGTTCATTATTCTTAAATTGTGTGTAAATTGTTTTATAAGTGCACTCTTGGGTGGGATCATTTCTCTGTTCTGTCACTCCTGCCCTCTCTGCGATGCGTGGGTCTTTGTGTGGATCCTGGACAAAGTGGCATCAGAGAAATCTCACGTCTCCCATAGTGCACCTGTTTCCTTTAGACAGTAGGGCAGTCAATCATTTATCCACACCTTGCAGAGGTGACATCTTACGGTGCTGGATCCCCATACTTCCCTCTCTAAGGCCCGTAGATTCATCTTGAGCCAAAGACTCTGGTTTCATTGCCAGGGGAATGGTTTTGTAATGTTAAAATTTGAGAACATAAAATCAAATGTTTCTCCTTATTATATTTGTACAGAATGCTACACAACTCTATGTCTTTTTCCATTGTGTTGATATAGCATCCCACATGTGTCTATGTCCTCAAAAATAGGATGCTTTTATTTGGAAACAACTTCTGTGGAATATCCCTTTCTGTGGAATATCCCTTTAGCTGGCTCCAGGTTCGCAGATCTGGTTGGGCCTCCTGATCAGAGCTCAACGTGTTTCCTCTGGGTTGACTTCTCTGCTGCCTCATTGGCCCTGAGCTCAGTCCAAAAGGCCACTTCCTTGACTTTCAGCCCATGAGCTGCCTGTGTGGGGACTCCAATCTGCAGGTACCCTTCCTTCTGGTCATATTGTGGCCAATGGGGCAGCCCTTCCCCATTGGGGTTCCTGTGAACAGAATAAAAAGAGAAAGTCACCAAATCAGCTACGTTGTCCCCATGGTGCTCAGAGATGTGCAAGAATGTGCTAGCTTATCTTTGCCAAGAAACCAATAACCTTCCACAGATAGACAGATCTCTAGCTCTTGGGACAGTTCTCTCTCTCTCTCTCTCTCTCTCTCTCTCTCTCTTTCTCTCTCTCTCTCTCTTTCTCTCTTCCTTATCTCCCTCAAATTTTATTATGATTTAAATCTTACATTTTCTGTAAATCCTCCTGTGTTACAGATTGATACTATCTGGGAGCTAGTGGAATAGAGGGTGGGGAATAGTTGGAAAAAACAGATCACGAAGGCTTTGAACAGTGCTGGGGTTCCGTTCTTCACCTCACAGCTTCCTGATGACTAAGCATTTAACTGGTGCCCTCCTTACATTGTGGCAGTAGCATGTCAGCATGCACAGCACCAGAGTGGTAGCTGAAATGCTACATCCTGAGCTGCGAAAAGAGAGACTGCATCTGACATAGACTTTTGAAACCTCAAAGATTTTGTTGAAGGAGTGACATACTCCTTACAGCAAGACCACACCTCCAAATCCTTCTAATCTAAGCACATGGTGACTGAACATTCAACTATATGAGCCTATGGGGGTATGTTTTTATATCCATATATTAATATGGTATTAGTTTATCCATTTATACCCAGAACCTAAGAGATGAAACAGAGTCTGCAGGAAAAGAATGCATTTCCAAGCTTTTCATAGCCCATGTCTGTCAACAGACTTCTGGATGTTTGAAAAGGAGATTTAGGATTTAAATGCTTCTCTCTTAGATTCTGGAATTGCTTTTTGGTTTGATTTTTCCCATTCCTTCCTTTAGAATAAGAATGTGTGGTCATTGTCCTTGCATCTTGGAAATTTGTTACTTTTTTATTTGTGTTGTTTCTCATCGCAAAGGTTTACCTGAGCCTGGGAAGTTTTTTAACTTGGATATCAAAGCAATGTTAAAAGTATTAAGTTAGGAATTTGTGGAAATGAGTTTTGTGATGGACATGAACTTCTGAGGATTGTGAGCTGGTTATAATTTAGAGCTCAATACTACCCATAAGCTCATGGATTGAAGCCTTTATCCTCACCCGATGGTGCCATTGGGACATGACAGAAAGGTAATAAAGAAGGACTTGCCTGAGGATAGTGTTAGGATCCTGGCCTTTTGCTCCCCTTCATAAGCATCAGGAGGTAAGGTGCATCGCCCTACATATGATCCCCACACGGTGTTCTCTTCTGACACTAGAGTTCATAGGCACAAGGAACAAAGCTTGAAACCTCTCCTTCTGAGCCCAAGTTCACATTCTCACCTCATCTTGAAGTACCACAAATCATCCAACTGCACAGCAGGTTAGCCCAGCTCTCACTGGACTGCTTTGGTCCCAGGGTAAGAAGGATGATCACTCAAACTCTAGAAAACTACTCCTTCCTCTTAGGTAGGATTCAGGGCTCTACCCCTTCAGGTCTGGCAATATTGCCCCCAGCCTCACCCATTCCGAGCAAAGTTGGTCCAGAATTTCATCACCATCTTGCTGAGACTGATATCCTCCTCCGAGGCACCATCTGTGCGGAAAAAGATATAAAATTAACCTTCTTAACTTAAGGTGTGGTTAATGAGCTGTAGTAGCAGTGCAATCTGAGCCCCTTTAATAAATGCAGTGTTGTGTACGAACACATCCGGCTGAATGTGTCTGATCAATCCTATGATCCTAATCCCTGAAGATACATGGGGTCAGGCCTGGTTAATATTTGAAGGGGAGAAATGCACTCTTGACCTTTATCACATATTCACTAAGCCAAAAATCTGCCTTTTAAGAAGATCTTTGTGAGTGTGCCTTCGATTTAAAGTTAAGAGGAATGTTTCAGATGCCCTATGCCTTTCTCTCTCATACTGACCTGCCTGGTGTCCATCTCCATCGGAGTCCAATGGCAACAAGACTCAGTTTCCCCAGTTTTACCCCCAGAATTGCTGCCCTTTAGGTTTGTTCTCAACCTCTTACATATACACCTCTTCATAGACTCTGAAAATATCATAACTGGGAGATGCTTTGGGACACTGGTGTGCCATGTGGAACATACCATAGGTCACACATTATATACAATTGTTGAAAAGTAAACTATTAATGATCTTTCTAAAAGGTTCCCTAAATATCATATCTTTAAATATATTTAAATGTATGGTATATATTAGATAGCTAGACAGGTAGGAACATGATAATCCTTATTCAAATTAGAAATTTTCTAATACTTCCCTTACTCATATTCTAGTATTTATAGGAGGAAAATGAAATACTGGCATTCTTGCCCTAAAGGGCCTGTGGGTGACTATGGCGGTCTGAATAAAAGTGGTCCCCAAAGGGAATGGCACTATATGGAGGTGTGGCCTTGTTGGAGGAAGTGTGTTACTGTGGGGATGGGCTTTTTACGTCTCTTTTGTTCAAGCTTCTCTCAGTGTGAGTGCTGGTTGACTTCCTATTGCCTAGAAGATGTAGCACTCAGCTCCAGCACCACATCTACCTGCACACCAACTGCCATGCCTGGGTCATGATGATAATGGACTGACTGAACCTCTGTTACTGTAAGTAGGCCACTGCAATTAAATGTTTTCTTTCTTCGAGTTTCTGTGGTAATGGTGTCTCTCCACAACAACTAAGACAGTGGTCTTCTATTTCTCTTATTGGTGTCACAGCAGGATTCTGAGAATGACTATGGCTGGGGACACATTAACACAATCCCATTGTGTGTATTAAAAATGGAGAAAGGCTGGGGACTGTTCTATAGCTGAGCCCCATTACAGAGCATCAGAAACACCACTTTAAAAGGAGACACTTTATCAAGGCCATCAAGAAAAAATCCAGACCCAGTTCTCAGATCACCAAGACCACAACCAGCAAACAGACTTTACCTTTTAAAAAGGGGGCTCCCCATACAGAGAAGAGATCATCACCATGGTCTCCTTTCACTGTCTTGGGTCTCATTTCTGATACTAAGCTTGGCCCATGATGAAACTCATACATGTAGGTAGGGGCTCCAGCATCTGGGGAGACATGGATTCACGCACAGTTTACATTTCCAGATATACACCTGGATGGTGTCAAGGTCTTAGGCCCTGCAGTTAAAAACACTCTTTAGCTTCAGAGGAAATAGCTTTAGGAAGTCCCAGTGACTTTCTTAGAGCTGCACAGGTGGTTGATGCAGACCTAGGATTTGAAGAAGATGCTTACTGAATGAACAGTGAATGGATCCACACATGCAGCGACTGAATAAGATGAGTGTCCGTCATGACGCATGTGTATTGATTCTAGAAGATCTAGAACCTCATAGTTGCATCTAGTCTAGCTCTGGGCATTCGAAGAGATTCTCAGGTCTTCAGAGGCATAAGGAAATGAAGACACATAAATAAGATTCTATGCTGAGATAGAATGATCTGTCTCTTGTGTTTCATGAAACTACAAAACTGGAGGCTCATGTTTTATCTCCAACTTCATTGGTAGCCCAAGGGTAAGGCCATTTTTTTTAAAGTATTTTCAGACTATATATTTTGATGAAATTTTTCCTTCCTCCAACCCCTCCCTGTTGCTCCCCTCCAAGCCAAATGTACAGCCTCTCTTTCTGCCTCTCATTAGAATGCGAACAATCAGACAAACAAACCAGAAACGAACAGTACAAATAAATTAGCCAGAAAAAAGAAGAGCCAAAGAAAAAGCACAAGAAACGCATACAGACACAAAGACACTCCATGCATATAGAAATTCCATAAAAACACAAAATTGGAAACAGCAAAAATATCCAGACAAAACATTATCAGGGAAAAATATGCTCAAAAATACCATTGAGTTAGTTTTGTCTTTGTCATCTACAGCAGGCCATGGGACTGCTCTTAAGAGTTGATTGTATATCCAGTGAGACTCTTTTGGAGAAAATTCAGTTTTCCTTTCGAGTGGTTATGAATTAGAGAAAGCTTCTTGGCTAGAGAAGCATGACTGTGTCCACATCCTCTCTCAACACTGGAACCCCGTCTGACTAAGGCCTGTGCAGCCCCTGTGCTGCCACAGTCTCTGTGAGTTCACATGTGCATCAAGGCTGTTATGTACCAAAGACCTGTTTCCTTGGCGTCCTCCATCCCTTCTGGTTCTTATGGTCTTTCTGCCTCCTCCGTAAGGATCAGTTTTCTCTGATCCTTGAGATGAGGAATTTGATGGAGACATCCCATTTAGGGCTGCGTATTCCAAATGCTCTCACTCTCTGCATATCGTCTGTTGTGCTCTCCGTATTTGCTCCCATGTACTGCAGGAGGGAGCATCTCTGGTGATGGCTAGGGAAGGCACTTATCTCTGAATACAGCAGAATGTCATCAAGGGTGATTTTATTGCTACATTCCTTTAGCAGAGCAGTGGTATTTGGTTTTCCCCTAGGCCCACAGCCTATAAGTGGGGGTAAAATCGAAGTGCCTGTGCAAAGCAAACTTGTGTTTCCTCCAAACTCTTTCCCCCTCTCCACTAACTCCTCTCTTACCAACAAAGAAAACCTGTTCAAGGGTCAAGATGTCACTATTTTGCTTTTAGGGTCAATGGAGCCACAAATATTTGCTCCTCGTGTACCAGCCCATAAACCTCCAGCCTGGGAGCCTCAAGACAATGGTTTAACATCAGAACAAATGCCCACATATTAGATAAAGTAGGGAAATTCAAAACGTTAAAAATGAGTATAAATTTACTTGAAAACATTCCTACTCTATTACAAGTCATATATTATATACGCACACACATATGTTCTTATAATTATAAATACATATACACATATACAGCTTTATAATTTGTAATTCTGTTTTATCATCCATATACTTCATACATGTATTTGAGGTAATTTTGTGTATATTACATTAAATACTATTTTGTTATCTTTTGACACAGGGTTTCTCTGTAGCTTCAGAGCCCGTCCTGGAACTAGCTCTTGTAGACCAGGCTGTTGGCCTCTGCCTCCTGAGTGCTGGGATTAAAGGCATGTGCCTCCACCGCCCGGCTACATCTCATTACTTTGTGCTATGAGATGTCCATCACAAGAAGTGATGGTGACAACACATGTCTTCACAACACAGGTTGGGGACTACTTTAATTAACTCACAACCCTGTCGCCATAGCTTTAGGCAATCCTGTGACTCTGCCATCCCCTTAGGAAACAGTTCTCCAAGGTCAAGTAGAACTCCCTGAAAGACAGCTAAACCTGATCTTAGTTGTGCGGTCATTTTAGAAAGGGAACCCAGGCTGCAACTATGCAGAGGACTTTGTGAATGAGAACATATTTTAGACGGCATATAGCATGAGGTACTTTTGTAACTTTTTGTTTGAAACAAATACTTTTGTCTTTATTTTTATAAGTTCTCCAAAAAATTATGCAACATTTTTTCATATTCACTTCCTATTCTGAGTCCTCCTAGACCCACCCTTCCTATCCACCCAATGTCCTCGTTTTTATAAACCAGTCAAATCCAATTTGTGATTCCCAAATGTTCTTAGCTGTGTGGCTGTCCACTGAAGCATTGTTGACTACCAGTGTGCTGAAGGAAATGAATGGCTGGCCTGGAGCCCTGCATTTAGGAAAGGAGTCTTAAAAATGAAGGGAGAAATAGCATTTTTCCATGCTGAGAGAAGCTATGGGCCTTGTCACTTCTGGTCCTGCCTTACAGTAATGGCCAAAAAGGGTGTTTAAATCGAAACTAGGAAAGCATGCCGAACATAAGACGTGACAGTCTGTATGCGGCACATGCTAGGACTGTGGTGAAGATATGGACACAGTTTTATCCTATGTGGTGCAAGGAGTCAACAGAAAGTTGTGCTAATAATTATAGCTGAGATTACTCCTCAACTAGAGTTAAAATAAACTGTAATCCAATGATATAATTTTTTAGATAAAAGGCATAAAATGTGTGTTCATTAAGGGGTAGATTCATAAAGTAACAATGTTATCAGAGGAGACAGGGACCAAGTAGGATCACATGGCCATAAACCCTTACATGTTATCAAAGTTACACTTTTACCAGCTTACTGTGTGCTATTAGAATTACACTAGGGGTCAGTGAGATGACTCACAGCTGGATTCCTGAGTATAATTCCTAGGATTTCTATGATGGAACAAGAGAACTAAGAGTGGTCTGACCTTCACATTGACATGGTGGCATGGGTATGTGGTAATGTACAAATAGAAATAAATTATCTGTAAAAGTACAATGGTAGATGTAGAATTTATAGTAGACACAAAACAGAAGTCTTCAGTAGAGCCATAGCCCCAAAATAGAAAAAGAAAAAAAAAACCAAAGGCACACTCCTTCAGAACAGCAGAATTGTAAAACAACCATAATAGAACCACCAAAGAGCACTAGTGAGTCTTTAAGGACCAAAATTATATTTAATATAAATTCCGAACTAAAGGAGAAGGATTGAATGGATTTTTAAACATGCCTTACCAACAGGTTACCTTAAATGAAATGAGGGTTGGAAGAGAAAGTATAAAAATGGATACAATTTGAAAGGAAAACTAAATAAGAAGAATGGAAGCAATGGTTGTATTAGAACACACAGTCTGAGAAAAAAAAATGATCTGGACCTGGTAGCTCATAACCATACTCAAAGAACTCTGGGAGCTGAGACAGGAGAACTGCTGTGAATTTGAGACTTGTCAGAGATACACAGTCATTTCTAGTCCATTCTGTGCTACAGTGTGAGACCTTATCTCAGAAGAAACAGATAAAGACATCATGTTGATGACAGTGTCAAATCACCCATAGAACCTAGCAATGGCAAATACAGACCCAACATCTGGGATCCTAAATATATACAAAAAATAAATAGTGGAGGCTATGAAGGGAGAGACAAGATGCAAAGAATGCCACAACATTAAGGGGTCTGCAATACAAATATTTACAATAATGGACAGATCATTCAGGAAGAAAACTCATAAGCAACATTGGACTTGCTAACATATTGGGACAAAGAGATTAAGCAGAAATATACAGACGTGGGCAGGCTAAGGGTCTTTCAACTTGACACAAACTATAGTCACTTCGGCTGGCAGTAAAGGATTGAACAAGCTATTGAAAGCAAACAGTACACCACTATGGTCTCTACTTCGGTTTCTGCCTCAGGTTTCTGCTTGAGTTTCTGCCCTGATTTCTTTGAATAATGAACTATGAGTCAGGTGGTGGCGGTGTGTGCCTTTAATCCTAGCAATCAAGAGGCAAAGTCAGGTGGATCTCCATGAGTTTGAGTCCACCCTGTTCTACAGAGGGAGTTCCAGGACAGGCAGCAAAGCTACAGGGAAACCCTGTTTCTAAAACCAAAAAAAAAAAAAAAAAAAAGACTATGATGTGGAAATGTAAGATGAAATCACTTCCCAAAGGCTTTTGGTCATGGTATTAGAATCACAATAATAGAAGCAAACTATGACAAGAATATTCTATCCAATGCAGACAGAATGCAATTCTTCCAAACACCCACAGAACATTCTTTAGCATAGACTGCTTGTGTCGCACAAAAAAAGAACAACAAAAGTCATTTAATTTGAGAAGACTGAAATTGTACCAAGTACCTAATCTTACACACTAAAAATAAATTAAAAAACCAACTACAAGAATTATTTTGAAAAATTCAAATTAAAGGAATAAGAAAACTGCTCCTTAGCACAGCTATCCCAAAGAAGAAATTAAATGGATGATCCATTGGAACAAATGGGAATAAAGTGCCTTTCCCTCTAAGGTTCGGGAACACAGTATAAGAAGTGACAGAAATTTTCTCCCCGGCAATTTTGTCTACTTCCCATAGCCAAGAGGACAACTATATGTTTTTCCTTTGGTTCACCTTCTTACTTAGCTTCTTTGGGATCACCAATTGTAAGATCTTGGGGGTGGGGTGGGATGGGGGTATGGGGAGATGGGGAGAGAAAAGGGAGAAGGGGAGAATGGGGGGAACTTGGGGAAAAAGGAGGATTGGGATAAAGGAAGGTTGGATAGGGGAGCACGGAAGCACAATTCTTAGTTAAGGGAGTCACCTTAGGGTTGGCAAGAGACTTGGACCTAGAGTGGCTCCCAGATGCCCAAGCCGAGGTCCCCAGTTAGTTCCTTGGGCAACTGAGGATAGGGAACCTGAAATGACCCTATCCTATAGCAATACTGACGAATATTTTGCATATCACCGTAGAACCTTCATCTGGTGATGGATGGAGATAGAGACAGAGACCCACACGGGAGCACTGGACTGAGCTCCCAAGGTCCCAATGAGGAGCAGAAGGAGGGAGAACATGAGCAAAGAAGTCGGGACCACGAGGGGTGCACACACCCACTGAGACAGTGGAGCTGATCTATTGGGAGCTCACCAAGGCCAGCTGGACTGTGACTGAAAAAGCATGGGATAAAACTGGAATCTCTGAGCATGGTGAACAATGAGGGCTGATGAGAAGCCAAGGACAATGGCACGGGGTTTTGAACCTACGTAATGTGCTGGCTTTGTGGGAGCATAGCCAGTTTGGATGTTCACCTTCCTAGAAATGGACGGAGAGGGGAGGACCTAGGACTTACCACAGGGCAGGGAACCCTGACTGCTCATTGGACTGGAGAGGGAGGGGGAGAGGAGTGGGGGGAGGGGGAGAAGGGTGGGAGGAGGGGGAGAAGGGTGGGAGGAGGGGGAGGGAAATGGGAGGCTGGGAGGAGGAGGAAATTTGTTTTTTTTTTTCTCCTTTTCTCAATAAAAAAAAAAAGTTAAAAAAAAAAAAAAGAAGTGACAGAAAGAACTCAAGAGCCCGGATACAGGGAGAATGGCTGTGAAATCCTGTCTTCTGGGCATGACACAACCATTGTAATAGTGAACTCACAGTTACACAGCAGCTGCACTTACCTGCCCTAGGACTCCAGAGGATACCTGATCCTGGAAGGGAAGAGTTTCATGAGGCCTTTACTCCTCCCTGGTGGACCACTGACTACTGATGGATTCCTGATGAGAGGGAACCATTACCATCTGATGTTTACCCTCAGGTGAGTCCACCAGGCTCCACCGGGTAGTTCCATACCCATGGTCACACAGGTGGCTCCGTTAAACTCAGTGGCTCACAAAGCAGAACAGAAAAGAAATGGATGTAGCAAAGGTGGGGAATGGTAGGAATCAGAAGGAGATAAAAGGGCAGGGAGTGAGAGAGATCAGAATATATTATATACATGTATGAAAAGTGGACAATTTAATTAGGAAAACAGGGCAGCCTGCCAACACTTTTGTGTTAAAGTGAGGGCAACAATAAGGGAAGCTTATAGCAATAAACACCTGCATTAAGAGAGTAAAAGTTTCCAACAACCTAAGATTACATACCAAAGTTCTACAAAAACATAAAGAAGAAAAGAAATCGTAAGATAAAGTCAGAAGTTTGAGAATTTAAAAAATAGGAAAGGTTAACAAAACTGAGGGTTTTTTTCTCAGAAAAAAAGAAAGCAAAAACACCCTAAATTGATAAATCTTCTAGCACAAAAGAATTTATATCAATTTAAGTCAATTTAAAGACTCATAACCAGAAACTAAAGAAGAAACACTATAACAGAGACCACAGCTATAGAGCCGGTCATAAGAAAGTACCGTGAACAAGTATATGCACAAGAATAGGAGAGCCGAGAAGGAACAGAGGCAGTTAAGGGGACCCAGTATTCCCTGGACCACTGCAAAAGTGACAAATAGTTAAATCTTGAAGATCGCTGCCCCTGCTGAGGGCACATTCTGTTTAGCTCCTTTGTACGCACTCTTTCTGATGTTAATTTTCAAATTGCAAAGATGGGGATTGATGGGACCATTTTACCCCATCCTTAGCAGTTGTTGGATGCTTAATGCTCTCTTAATGCTCTGGCTTCCCTGACCTGAAGGATTGTCAGCCAGCCAGCTGGACTCCTGTGTGCCAGCAACAGACATCTGGAACACTCCACAGATGCCTTGAGAAACCTACACAATGATGGCAGTGGAAATATAAAACTAAATTTAATCCAGGTGGTACTACCACTGAATGCTGAAAACTAGCTCATAGGTTAAAGAAAATGAACACACAAATAAAAACAAGGATCATGGATCTTGATCATGGAGCAAAAGGATCGATTTAAAAATATCCATTGTACTCACAGTGATCTATTGATTTGATTAAATATGTCCTCAAATTCCAATACCATTTGTCCTTATAGAAAGAAAAGTTACCTAAAAAAGTTTGTCACCAAGATGATCGTCAGCAGTTAGAACAAAGCTGGAGCTATGACACGACCTGACTTTAATCTGTTCTGTATCCACAGTTACTAAACGGTGTGGCAGCTAGCGTGGTAGTTGCTTTACCCATGTGCATACATTGAACAATGGGATATAACAAAGACCCGAACACAGGCAGGTACTGGCTGCTGTTTTACAAAGGAATCAAGAATATAAAATAAGATAAAGCAGTCTCTTCAGTCAATTTGTTGAGAAAATCAGATTTCTACATTCTTGAGACCAAAATGGACAGAAGACAAATATAAGTTCAAAAGCCCCCAATCATAAGTAGATATCATGAAGGAAAACCAATAATTCCGACCACAGAAAACAGTTGCTTAGACAGAACACCAACACCATGAATAGTAAATCAAACAATTCTTCACAGAAAGAAACCAATGGCAGGATGCAGAGGCAACCGTTGGAAGAGAAAGCTCTTTGTGATCCTACTATGTGACATGTGTCTATTCAAAGACCATTTGAACTAAATAGCACTGCAATGGAGTGCCCTTTAACGTTAAGAAGGAAACTGTTACTTTTACAGTGTGGGGTGAGTCAGGGAGCATCATGCCATGTTAAATAGCTGAACGTAGAAAGATAAATTACGTGTGTTGCTGCTCATTGGAGAATCTTGATTTACTAGTAAACATACTGAAGAAACTTGCCGTAAAGAGGTTGGAGTTCAATGAATGAGGAAGATGAAGAAAAAGAGTAATAAAAATATCACCCAGGAAGGAATTCTTTATCTCATTAGTTTCCCAACCCACAGCGTCATATACATGAATGATAAAATCATAAATTTAAAAATAGCTGAGAGAAAATTTCAAGTCTTCTCACGGTAGAAAATGTTAAGTATTTGAAGAAATGTGTGTGTTAATCAGCTGATATATTTATTAGGCATGGCATAATCAAGCAGAAAATGTGTGCACCATAGTTGGCAGGTGAAGTTTACCAATTTGCAATTTAAGAAATGATAGAAAGTTTCTCTCTTTCAAAATATGTCATTGTATTCTATTCTCCATTCTTTCTTCATCCCTGCAGGCAGTTTCTCACAGGTAACTGCAACTTCAGAAAGGAATGCTGGGAAATCATCTTAGCCTCCCAAAAGGAACAGTTTTGGCAGATGTAATTGGTACCTTTGATAGTTGGTTCCAGCAACTTAGTTACATTAAGAAACACTTAGAAAACTTGCAGATCACTCTTGTGTGTTTGTGGGAGTGTTTCCGGAGACAATAGGTCACTATGGCTAATGTTGTTATCTAGTGTTGCATTCAATCTCTAACACACTATTGGCTGGGAAGGCGTGGCCTGTTGGTAGGAAGTAGGTCACTGGGGCCATACTCAGTAATGACCCGGGACTATGCCTGTAGCTGTTCCACACAGCTTCAGTACTCACAAGCCCCCATGATGCGAGCTGATCCAACTCTCCCAACATCACAGGCTAAACAATCTGAGGCTCCAAACTTTAGTAAAGCCTCCTCCCCTTGAGTTTTGATATGCCATATTTTTCTGTTATGTAGTGAGGAGTAACAATTATACCTTCTTACTAATTGCCTATTTCTGGGCAGGCCAACCTGATATGCTCATAAAACATCAACAAGACATGCCTGGGCCATTTTCTGGCCACTAGAAACAACTGTGCTCATGTTTGCAGCAGATAAAGGCATGATAGACCTCACAATCCCTGTGAGAGAGCGCTTACCCAATGAGTGGTGGATACATACCACTCTATAGCTTCTGGGAGGGAAAAGTCTTAAGAAAAACACTAAGATGCATGTATCTAAGGTGGTCACATGCTAGTCAACTCACTAGGTTGGCTCCTATCCCTTCTAAGTATCACCTCTCCTCTCTACAGAGTTCTGTGGGACTATCTTCTAGACTAAACTGCCTGTGACCAAATTTCTCATGGACTCCTACTGGCAGAAGTAAAACTAAAGATTGCAGGACATAGGGAACCTGCTTTTGAGGCCTGGTCCTCAGCAGATTTCATATCTGACTCTTTCAAGAGGTAGGTGAGTTGGAGGCCTTGGTGGTGAGCCTATATCCTTCTCCCATGCAACAGGTGAGACGGAGACTCACCTCTGTGGCCACGGGACACAATCACAGATGGGGCACCAAACAACACATCTCCCATTAAGTCCTGGAGAAGGTCTTTCTTTCTGATGGGGTTGTCTGTCCCTGATATATACTTCTCAATGACAGCTGGAATCAGACTCTCAGAGATGTTCTAAAAGGAACAGAAAGATCAGAAAAGGGAATGAGAAAGGGAATGAAAAAAAAAAAACTTGGTTCATGAGATTTGCTGGTCAGTAACCTTTTTTTTTATCAGAGCTGAGACCATTCAGGAACCTACAGATAGTAGGGGCCCATGTATCAGAAGGGCAAAGCACTCTAAGTTTGTAAATATTGTTGTGCACACCTCTCTGCTTTGCCTCCCAAAAATTACCTACAGAAGTCTTGGGTCTCTAAGCCCTTGATAACTGGGTTTTGCTGAATATAGCTTCCATCTTTTGCCAGCTTTTCCAACAATATATCCTGGAAATACTGGAATTTTTAAACAACAAGCAACACATGAGTTTTTTGCATTATACTAAAGTATGCAAACTAGAAAACGCGGGCTGAAACACAGACATGAGTACTTTTCGCCACGGAGTTAGTGTGTGTTTGGACGCAAGCACCCCCACTTCTTTGCTTCTCAGCTGAGTCCCACAGTTCACTTACAAGGATCGGGTAAGACTGCCAAAGAAGCGAAGCGATCCTCTTCTCATCCATTTTGTCTTCAGAAAGTGGAAAGCCTATCATCTGTTAAACACAATGATAAATATTTCTGAATCATGTGGAATTAACAGGAAGAAACAAATTGGTTGAGTAACCAAACCAATACAGGAGGAAGTTCCTTTAACAGGCCTTATTTGGTGTGGAATTTCATGTTTGAAGATATAACCTAGGAAAAATTGAGATTATATCTAGTAATATATGCAGTATATATTTCTAGATATAATCTCAATTTTTCAGAGAATGCACATACCAAATATATTGCATATATTAGATATTATAGATAGAAATCTATAGTGTATATAGTTTATATAATACAAACACACACTAATCCTTCAGAGAATGAGAGGTATTTATGTTAGGACAGTGTTAGAAGTACAGGGAGGATACAAGCCCTGACCTACATCTCCGGTGTCTATAGAAGCCAGAGTCCGGTCTACCATATGGCTGAATTTCATTGATGACTTGCGCACTCCTTTTGCAGGTAGACCTGCAGAACCTTCTGTGTGTCTATCCCTGTGCAAATGTCTGTACTGAGAAACTTGACTCTATTCCAGTACGGCCTCCAGCAGCTGAAGGTCATCCTAGGGCCCTAGAATGACAGTCGTCTCTCTTTTGTGCCCACCTGGTCAAGCTCAGAAAACTCAACCTGAGTTACTCTACCTCTTGTCTGAACTTAGTAATGGACCCTGCGGCCCCTGAGCCCTGTCTTGTGATCATCCTTTCTTTATCTGAGCTATAAGATACAGTTTCCTCAACATTATTTTCCCAACTACTTGAGGGAAAATTTTCTTGCAACATTTTAACCTTTTGCAAATGTGAACATTTGGGGCGATAACCCCTGATCACAATTTGGTCACCATGTAGAGTGAAGAACTCACTTTGGTGAGGTCCAAACTTGAGCTCACATCTTTGTGCCCTATCATGACAAGATGCAAACTTGTTCCTGGGATGTGAGGATGAATTAAATTCAGCCACTGGAGACACTGACTCATTGCTTAATCACAGCATCTCGGGGCTCCCTCAGCCTTGATTTCTCTATACATCCCAAATCTGAACTCACTGGAAAAGCTATGAAATTAGATACATCATACTGGTTTAGTCAGTGTCAGAGTTTTTCTCTGACAGAGGAAAGACATTCATCCTTCTTACCTTCCAGAAGCAACTTTAATTCAGTCTGAAGTGATTTTTATGGATCTCAACAATGAAGTACCGAGAGAAGCCATGGAAAATTTACACAACCCATTGGTTCAGGTCCAATGTGGAATTGCAGTGCCCAATCGGATTCTCCCAAACTCTAACTCCTTCTGCTCCCTAGATGCCCCTTATCACTCCATCTGCACCACTGTCCTCTCCACAGACCCTCCCAGTCTGGGAATTTTAAACTCCTTAAGGAAGGACAGCATCTAGGGAGAGGGTTTTCCAGGGCTGTAGTTCCCAGAGGGCAGTTGAGCCATGCTGGAGAATCTTCCCATGGAAGTATGACATTGGTGACAGTTTCTCCCGTCTGGTTGGAGACTGTGACCAGAGAGAGCACGTAGGATCAAAGAGGTGGGTTGTGTGGACTGAGGCTCTATGGGTACCACTAAGAGTCCTATATGTTCTCACCATAGGTGTCGTCCAGCCAAACTCTTTCTTAGTGATGCCCACCATGTAGGGCACAGTGTTGAAACTCTTCTCAGCCAGGATCTCTTCTGGTGCCTTTGGCAGCACCACTCCATCAATCACAGTGGGAAGCAAAAAGTAGCTCTAGGGAGGAGAACAATGCAACATCTGTGATTACCCTTCCCCAGCTACCATCAGACTCCACTTTCTGCCCATCTCAGTGCTTAGCCAACACACGGACTCATGTGGCTGCACCACAGGCAGTCGGGGTCCTAAATGGGGCAACGTCTATGAGTTGCTAAAAACAGAACTGTGCCAGGGAGCCAGAAAGAATACTGGCAGGGAATGGGTATTGTGGGAATTGGTCTTGAGCAAAGTATATATATGTATAAATGTGTAACAGATCATATACAATTTTATGTATGTATATAAAATTGTACGTAATTTGAAATTATAAATCTATTATAATTTATAAATTTTATACAATTGCATGTGTGTGGTTTTAGTGGATGCATTTGAACACTTTGACCCTAGTTGTTGACACTTTTAGGGGAGATTTAAAAGGTGTGGACTTGCTGTAGGGAGGATGTCAACCACAGGAGAGCTTAAAGGTTCATCACTTCTAGTTTACAGTGTCTACTTCATGCTTGAAGGTCAACGTAAGAACGCTCAGCTTCAGGTTCCTGATGCCACACCTACTGGTGGTTCCTTCCACCCTGCCATGACCCGACACATTGCACCGGAATGCCTTGCCTATGCTGTGGTAACACAGTGGACTCTGCACAGCCCCTGCCCCTACTCTATAACCTATTTTCACGTTGCAGTCAAAGGGATGTTCATAAACTCAACAGGTTTCTCTGCTCCATTCAGACCCTCCTGGGTACCCGTCTCTCATCCTGTGTCTATCAATTAATAACTCCATCTTAACCTCTTCCATTTCCCCAGACTCAAGCCTGTTTCTGTCCTGGCTGCCTCTAGTTAAAGCACACTGTAACAGGCCTTTTCAGCTACAGGGAAGTGTTTCTAGGTTTCAGTTTGCTGACTTCATTTCCCTCTAGCATGACTTGGCTCTTCAAGCCATAACTTAAATCTGCCGTTCACACAAACCACTCAGCAGCTCTCTCTCCTCTGCCACTGCCAGAATCACAACATAATTTACCAATTTATTTTCCTGATACGAGACCCCACCAGAGGAGCAGTTTCAAAAAAGTAGGAAATCTTGTCTGTTTCACACCACAGCTCCTAAACTCTTCCTTGCACATAGTAAGAACAGGAATTCCACAGGGAGGGAACAGAAGGGACAAAACTGGAGATGCTACATACCTGACATCACCAGATCCTGGTCAGAGCTAGGAGGGAGAAGGACAGGGAGAGGAGAGGCCCCATTCGTGCGTTCTGGATGCTGGAGCAGGGCAGTATCCTCATCACCAAGATCTCAGTCAGGCCCCTCTCATATATCTGCCCTTTGTCCTCCCTGGAGAACTGGGCTCCTCGGTGAGGGCTCATGGACTCGTAGCGAGTCATCTCAGCCATTTGAAAGTCTGGTTCAGCCTTCCCAGACAGTGTCATTTTAGAGGCAGGAAATGTGCACGGGAGGGGGATAGGTGACTCTAGGGGACACAGTTGCTGAGGACAAGCACTGAACTGGGAATCAACTACCCTGCTCCTGGTTGCCATGGCTGTATTACCCAAGCTAGTGACTTTCCCTCACTGGGTCTGAGCAGAAAACACATAAGGAACAGTAGAATTCTACAAAGGAGAGTCCTTTCCCTGGGATTTAATTCATAAGATTCAACACTCACCTACAGAAAGCAAAGGTCCTTACCTCTCTGGGGTCTCCAACAAAATCAAGAGAACCAAACTTCTGTGGAGAAATCATCAGAGAAGGTGGGTGAGGAACTTCCCTTAGACAGAAGCAGATCCTTTGAGTTTCAGCCTAAAATATTAGGTTCTTTCTCCTGATTATTCCTTTTTGGGACCAGAATTAGAGGATCCTATGCTGTGTCCTCAGGGTCTGGGCATAAGGTGCAGCAGGATGGATCAGGGGCAGCAGCAGTGAAGAGACAGGGCCTGGGGCCCATTCAGGGTCTCCAGGGCATGCAGAGGATGTCTCGGGCCTCTGACTGTGATCTCTATTTTTTCATCTCTCCCCGTCCTCTCCTCTCTCCAGCACAACACCCTGTTGGCTCCCATGGAGAGTATAGTTATTACGTCAAGGTAGTGGTACGGGTGCACAGTATCTAAAGCGAAGATAAGTCTAAAGCCAGGATGGAAAACAGAACCCCAATTTCCCTCCACTACACCCTTGCCTTTTGCCTTCTTTCCTCCTGCTGCAGGAATGCAGACAACTGCATGTGATCCAAAGCACAGTGTCCAGCAGGTGTCCTGCCTGGATTAATGCAGTGATGGAACTTCCCAGTTGGTTTTTCTGCTCCTAACGTCTTCCCTCTCTACAGTCTGCTTCATGCAAGTCAGAGATCTTGGTAAAACTCTGCCTGGGAAGCTGAGTATACCCTTAACATTACTGCTACAATTTTTTTTTTAGTATAGTTGTCTTCCATGCATGGAGAGTGTTAGTCTAGAATTCCAAGGTCTTTAACCTGCTAAGAAAGCAAACTAGTTTAGAGAGAAGACTCCCACACCCTTCTTCAATTACAAATGGGAAGGAATGGAGATCGACACATTCCCGACAGTATATTCAAAGTGTCTAGATCTAGCCACATCCTAAGCTATTTGTTCCAGGATATTTTGAATATTTGAAAATTCTGTATAACACATTTCTTTTTCTGTTCAAGGTATCTTGAAGATTGTTCTCTTCTGAGATGAGAAAACCCCAAATCCTGCACTCACACTGAAACACATTGCATCCTGGCCTTTTCTCGGCTGTGATCAGGAAAACATTTAGTGTATAATCTCATGGTTTCCCTTTTAGCTCCCCTCTGTATGGATCATAAATGGACAGACACACAGACATCACATGGATGTATAGGTGTAGCTGGTCAATACAAGTACTGTTTATTTATGTGAATTTATTAAAAATGTAGATGAAAAGGAAGAGGTAGATATTTAACAAACTATTGTTTTGAGGTCTGACAAAGGTATATTGGTTGAGATTGACTGAATAATTCCTGGATAATGATTGATTAGTCCGGAAAAGGATTAGTTCAAAGTTTTAGATGCATCCCTACTAGACTGATGAAAAAAGTGATGAACAGGATTTGGTTATGAAGATGAATTGATAGTTCAGAGATAAATTGGTAGAAAGTCTGATGGCAATCCTAGTACATTAATTGTGTATCTTGGAAAATCTAGAAAAGTGTGCTACCAGTATGCTGTGGGTTTGTTTTCTACACCGGCTAGCATAAATTGTGACATTTTCTTCAATTGTTTTCTGCTGTATGTATCATCCCAAAACTCAGGTTGATAGTTATATGTGGGAATAGGGAACATTTTATATCTTAAAAATATGAAAACGACAATGTTAAAATATTGCACAATTCAAATTCTTAATCTACAACACTTTCAGGGCTAACGCTTTATACAGCAAGATCATAAATTAAATTACTGAAGGGTTTTATAAGTGTAAAATCCACACACAAACAATTGATTATGGTGCTTTCTGTTTAACTGCAGTGAATTCTCAAGCTCTATCTCCAAACATTGACACGCGTGGCTAAGAATAAGGATCACCAGGTAATAGGTGCTTCAAACTTTCCTTTCTTATGTGTGGGAGACTTGAAGCCCACACTTAGTCAAGGAGTCAGTTATTCTCTGGTGAAAAGTGCTCTTGGCTCAAGACAGTCCCCATCAGTAGACTCATCATTTGACTATTGCCGCCTTCCAGAGCCCTGACTTCTCACTGGTTTTATTGTAAACTGCAACCCACACAGAACCCAGCTCCAGGATCCCTGAGTCTGGGCTTACTCATTGCTGAACTCCTTACACAGTATGCCATTTCTCAAAATACTGTGTTTTGATAAAGTGTGTGGGGGTCTGTCATGTAATTTCTCATCATGTTATTATTGGCTTTCTGATATTTGAAGTATTTCATAACAGGAAAGAAATGAAAATATCTCAACTTAGATAGAAGATTGACAGTTCTGAGAGACAGGAAACTGTTTAATGAAATATGAAGCCAGAGCATAGCTGAACACATGAAACCTTGGGTTAGGTATACAGGGTGGGGCTTCTAGGATGGACACACCCACCATTTTCTGAGCGACCTCCAAGAGCTCATCCTCTGTCTTCTGGCGCAGGCACTGAACCATGACGGCTGAGGTGGTGGTTTTACAGCCAGCAATAGCAGCCACTTTCTGTAAGAGATTAGGAACCAAGAGTATATCCTTTCCCTTCCTCGATGCAGAGAGTGGATTGATTCTACCATTTCCTAATTTCTAAATCAACAGATGACTGCGGACAGAATTCTAGACCAGCAAATCCAGGAACCGAGTCCTGGAGTGTAATTCCTGTTACTGAGTAGAACACTGACAGGGTCTTATCATACAATCTTATGCCTCTGGTGCCTGATCAAATGGATCTAATTTCTCTCCCCAGAAGCACAAGAAGAACTTAATGTTCTCAGAGTCAAGTGTGGCTACAGAAACTGTTTTCACTATCTGATTTCAATTCCCACCTTTGTCATATTCTTGTCTTAGACAAATCATTCATTCTTTTCATGTCTTACTTTCTCAACTCACAAACAAGGGTCATGCACAGGTGATATGAGCAGGAGATGATCACGTCTTACATATACTAAAATGTGGGTAGAATGGCTGGAGGCCTAGATAACATGTTACACACGAAGTGTAGTGTGCCCTTAAAGCAGTAGCCTTCCTGCATACCCATTCTCCCTCAGGGATCCCTGGAGCACCTCAGCTGCATTCCACAGCAAGAAAGACACTTGGGCTTCCTGGTGAGCAGAGGAAGGGGCATAGGATGTGTCCAAGGTGAAACATACCTTCGCTAGGGGTCTGGCATCTCTCCCATACAGGCAAGGATTAAGGGCCACACTGCTCTGGGAAATGGCCCTGTGGAAGAGGTTCTTGGCCAGGGGAGACAACACCTGGAAGGAAGAGAGTTTATGCTAATAGGAGAAGTCAGTAACTTACTCATCTTTAGGGCTCTGTTCACATGCTTTTTTTAAAATTAACTTTTTTCATTTATTACATACCTACCACAGTTTTCCCTCCCTCCTCTCCTCCCCTCCCCTCTCCATTACCATCTACCCAATGCCATCCACTACTCTTGTCTCCATTATGAAAGGAGCAGGCCTCCCATGGGCTTAAACAAAGCATGGCATGTAAGGATGATGAGCGCTTGATGCCCTTTCTCCTGCAACAAAGATAGGTGAGGTAATCCAGTATGGGGAACAGGTTCACAGAAGCCAGCTGAGCATCAGGAACAGCTTTAATCCCACTTTTAAGAGCCTTAAAAATAGACCAAGCTACACAACTGTCACACACACACATGCAGAGGGCCTAGGTCAATCCCATACAGGCTCCCTAAGTCCTGATCCAGAGTCCATGAACTCCTATGTGCTCAGGTGAGCTGTCTCTGTGGGTTCCCCTGTCAGGTGCTCTTTTTTAACCCAGCCATTCACCTGGATTATCTGGTGCTCTGTGGAGTTAGAAACACTTACAAGAACAGAGACACTGAAACCTCCTGCTGACTCTCCAAAGATGGTCACAGAGCTTGGATCTCCTCCAAAGTGGGCAATGTTGTCCTGGACCCAGTGCAGTGCAGCTATCTGGTCCAAATGACCCCAGTTCCCCCGGCTGTGTTCATCGCCTGTGCTGTAAGACAATGGTGAGTTGGAACAGAGATGCCATGGCTGTGCTCTGAACTAGGGCTCTTAGTATGCTCTCTGAACTAAGGCTGGGCTCCATATTATCAAGAGGAACACTCGTTTATCCACTCATCACTACAGTGATGGTCTTTGTGATCCCTACAGTCAACCTCCAGGTACTATGTACTCAGGAACCTCCCAACATGCACACAACAGGGTCTAAATGCTAGGACTCATCTGAAGACAAACAGAGAAAATCTCTAGCTACAGTTGTTTCTTGATGAAGTACATAGACCAACAGAAGAAATAAATATAGAAAAAGCTAGTGGAAAAATAAAATTGGGTCTAAAGGAAATGGGGTGTTAGGATTGGACATAAAATACAATGGTAGCATGGTAGTTTAGATTGTGTAGCCAGAAAAGACCTCGTTAGTCAGTGGCAGTTAACAGAGGTCTGAATAAAATGAACGAGTGAGTCTTGCAAGCGTTGGAAGAGGGAGCTGCAGCAGGAGAAGCAAGGTTACAAGGACCGCAGGAACAGAAGCATGAGAGATGCTGTTGTGGGATGCAGGAGGAATGGGTGCTGTGGCCTTGCCAAAGACTCTGTATCATTGTAAGTAAGACAGAAACATTGTGCAGAGGAATGACAGGACTTAATGTGTCTTACAGAGCAGGCTCAGCCCTGTACAGAAAAGTTGTAATATTAAAGTAATAGACCTATAACAGTAGATGGTTATAACAGTATCAGTCTAGACACACGGGACTTTGACTAGGGTTGGAGCAAAGACTTGTATTGTTCATTAGGGTTTGCAGATGGTTTGCCACCAAAGACCCAGTTCCTTGCCCTAGTCTGTCTTGTGGGACTTATCAGGCAGTGAAGAGACCTGTGAAATCTGAGACTCAGAGGAAGGTTCTTTTGGTCTCTGTAGATGCTGCTCTGGAAAGGGATTAATCCAGTTCTCTGTGACCAGGATACTCCCTAGAGAATGAGTTAATCTTTTAAAGCAACATTACCCCCCTCTTTGGGATCCTTTTCCCACCATATCATCTGTCTGCACCATCAGCTTCTATTTTTGTTTATATAACATGTAGTGACACAACCAGAGTCTCCCAACAATGACTCATTTGATGAAACCACACAATCTTGGGCTTTTAGCATCTCTAGTTCAAAGGTAAGTAAGTTGGGAATCTCTGTAGTCACATATCCCGTGCCGTGTGCTGCAGTAACAGAAAGCACATGATCCCAGGGTCTAATGTGTCAGAAAGAATGTCGGGTATCTCACCTGAACAAACCCCAGATGCCCAGGCGGTACTGAATGGTCACTACAACCACATTTTCATGAGCCGAGAGGGGCAGTCCATCGTAGGTGGATGCCCCATCCACCACTCCACCTCCATGGATCCACACCATCACCTGGACAAGGAGAGAATAGCTACACATTTATCGCTACATAAGCTACAGCCCCAGCCTCGGGAGTTCTGGGGAAGCGTGCACTCAGTGTTTCTATGGCTCCTCTGAGAATGGGCAATGGTGCAGCACAGCTCTAAGTCTTCTGATTAGCAAAGAGCCCTATGGGGTTTCCAGGACATATCTAGACATATCTAGACAGGGCCTGATAGGATGGATGCTCCAGTTTACCTTGAATCCTTGAGGAATTCATTGTCACTTGGTCTCTTGTATTTGACTTGTTTGAAAAGGAAAAGAACTGCTCGGGGCTTTGCAGGAGTTGAGGATTTATCCTGAGTGGAACTACATGATAGTTTCTGAAAACACCAAAAAGATGATCCATGGGGACTTAGGATGCAGGAACCTTACACTGGAGTTTGCTTTGGGATGTCACTGTGGACCTTTAAGCATGAGAATGTATGGAGTCTAGTGTTTCTCTGTGCAATGGGATTTCCATGTGCTAACAGGCTTGCCTGGCTGGACTATTAGTTTTGTATATGAAGAAAATCCTGAGCAAAGCCTGAGAGACTTAAAAGAACTGAGGGTCTGGAACCCTGTTTTCTCCTTTGGAGCTGAACTTGTGGTGGTATCACTGTGCTCTCCCTCTAGTCCTTGGAACATTCAGAAGAAGGAGGCAGGGCATTCCGCAGCAGGGGTACGGCTCTGTGCAAATGTACACATTTGAGTATATGTCCATGTTCAAATGTGGACATGTGGAGGCCAGTGGTCAGCCTTAGGTCCGGTCTTAGGCACCCTGCTCAATGTTGTTTGAGGCAGGGTCCCGTCAGCAGGATCTAGGACTTGGTACCTCTGCTGAGCTAATGACCACTGCGCTCTAGAGAACCACCCATTTCTTTTCCCTGCCCAGAGATTACAGATCCTGCCCTCTACTAGGTTCTGGGAACCAAATTCAGGTCCTGAAGTACTTCCTAAACTGCACTAGTTTCTTGTACCTCAAACTCCTAAACAATTCATTCCCATGGTCCTTCTAGGAATCATTTGTGCATATTAAAATGGATGTTATTTTATAACCCAATTAAAGAAACTTTCTATGAAAACTTCAAATCTAACGAGAAAGTTATGTTTTGTTTCTAATATAACATTTGTGTTAGTCTGACTGTCACTATGAATAATTTCTTAATAGTCATATTTGACAAATTGCAAATTCTTAAAAATCAAAGAAATTTATTTGCACACTAGCAGAATCTACTGAAGTCCTATATGTATTGGGACTATACTGGTTACATTAAATCAAATCTATTCAAATTTTAAAAGGTTGATCACCTGGATCGCTCATTTTTCTCTTACATTCAACATTGAGTTTCATGAATATTAGCCTATACCTATTGTAGGGATCAAATTCTCACCAGAATAATTCCGGCTAGTCATTATTACTGGTCACATTACTTTTAGTGTGAGAGAACTTGGAAGATTAAGGTGTGCATCTCAGAGGCAGGGCAACCTCAACCAAGGTCTGACGTCACTGGATTTGCGACTCAGTTCTTGTCTATAGTACTCCTGCCCGCAGCTTCCCCTATCCCCCTTCCAGTGCATGGAAGAGACCGATGCTAGTATCCACAGGTCAGGACCAGTGATGAACGGGCTTACCGGCAGCCTTGTGTTTTTTGTCAGGTCAGCAGGAGTATAAATGTTTAGGTAGAGACAGTCTTCAGAAAACTGGAGAGGGATGCTCTCCTTTCTGTTGGTGAAGAGTGCTGAGAGCAGCTGCCCTCCCGCTGGGTCTTGGGAGCACCTGGGAAGGAAAAATGACACCCAAATTGCACCAGGTTGACCCTGGTCATGTTGTCTAAGGCCCAACCTTGCTTGCACTGGTGATTTATCTTACTGATGGAGAACCAGTGACTAAAGCATCTCCTGAAGGGAATCCCATGGATCTATAAATGCCTCCTAACTCTGAACAGGGAGCATGAGGTGGCACTTCTCACTGTCTCAGAGCTTCGGATACCTTCCACCTCCATCCTGGGATGTTTCCCAAGACCACCAAAAACAAGTAGCCTAATACTCTTCAGAATAGGAAGAGAAACTCAGAGTTCAAATTGGGTGAAGAGATCAGCTTCACTGGTATTTAGAGACATGCAGCATCGCAATTTTTATTGTTATGATTGTTACTGTTTGTTCAATAGACAAAATGATTCTTTCGGTAAATTTATTATTTGGGAATAATTTGCTGGATGACATTTTTTATTTCTATGGAATATTAATTCTATGGAATTACTATGGAAATTTAAAACATTGTCTTATTTATTTTATGTACCAACCACATTTCCCTTCCCTCTTCTCCTCCCATTCACCCCCACCCAGACTCCCATCTAACTCCTTCCCATTCACTCCTTCCTTGTCTCCATTCAGAAAGGGGCAGGGCTCCCATGGATTTGCACATAGCAGGGCACATCAAGTTGAGGCAGGACTGAGCTCCTCCCCTTGTATCAAGTTTGGGCAAGGTAATCCTGCATGGGGAGCAGGTTCACAAAAGCCAGCTAAATGCCAGGGACAGGTCCTGATCTCAGTTCTAGGAGCCTTACAAACAGATGAGACTACACACCTGCCACACACATGCAGAGGGCCTAGGTTGGTCCCATTCCAGCTCCCTAACTGTTGCTTCAGAATCTGTTTCTTCCACACAGTACCACAGTGGTGACTATGTTGATGACATTATGTTGATTGCAGCAAGTGAGCAAGAGGGAGCAACCACTTTGAACTCATTGGTAATACATATGCACATCAGAGGATGGGAATAAGTCCAACCAAAATTCAAAATTCCTAGGAGTCCAATGATGTGGGGGCACACAGAGGTATTCCTTCTTAGGGGACGGATAAATTATTGTGCCTGGTCCATGTCACCACCAGGAAAGAAGCACAACATTTAGTGGGCATATTTGGTTTCTGGAGACAACACATTCCCCTCTTGGGTATGGTACTCTGACCCATATGCAAAGTGACTCGGGAATTTCTAGAAACATTTTTTTTTTGAAAGTTACATAGATACTCTGCCTCAGAAATGTCGCTTCTTGGATATTCTCCTAGGACATCAATAATTGTGTGTAATGATTTGTCTGAAACACTTTTATTACAGCATCCTTTATAATATTGACATTAAAAATGATTCTATGTCCCCAAATTAAACACTGCATCAGTAAGTTACAGTTATGTACCCAATTAAATATAACTATTGATAACCTTTGGTTTCATATTCAATTGTTTAAGGTGGCATTATATACATGATCCTTTTTAAAGTGGTGAATAGTGAGTCTAACTATTGAAAGGTACATGAGTTTCATTTCTGCCTTTGCTTGCGTGAACTTTTCTGAAGTATGTACATATTATTACATTTGCAATAAGAATATCAAAGGAGCAAATATTTTAAGAGAAAATACAAGGTAAGGCAGGAAGACATTTAAGAGTAGGACCCTAGATCTTCAGAAGCACTGGTAAGTAGACCATAGCTGAATTGACATTGGTAGGTGCCTTGGGTGCTGGGAGGTTGCTCTGTGACCACTTGCGTCCTTTCGGCTTCTATACTCTACTGGCTAGGCTGACAGGGTCAGTAGAAACATTGCTCAGGCTGTGTCCTAGTTACCAGACATTTATGTACTCTACTCCCAAGAAATGTCATGATTCAAGAAGAGAGAAATAATGACATGAAATATATCTGCTGCCTGAAATAGTGCAGTTATAAAACGTGATATACAACTGCTTTGTTAATTTATATATAGTGTCCATGAGAGTAGGAATTTTTTTGGTCCCTAATACAGTTATAGAAATGAGACTATATCTGGCTCCGTAAGAAATAAATAAAGAGAACTGGAAGACAGTGACAGCATTGGGATCACTTTGGGGTACTACAGCATTCTTAAGGATGCCATGAGAATGCAGCCAAAGAACCCCCAAAGATGCCACTAACTGAGGTCTTATACATACATAGTTCTGTATGAAACATTATGAGACAAAGAACCTCCAAAAATGCCACTGAGTTCATTTACTGTTGGTCATCTACTACTAGGCATGAGGCCTGCCCTTAGCGTGGTTTGTTTCCTCAGTGAGGCATCTATGGAGAAAATTAATTTTTCATTTGTAACTAGTTATGGATTGGAGATAGCTTCGATGTTAGGGACTATGTGTCCATTTCTCTTCTCAACTCTAGGACCCCATCTGGGGAAGACCTGTGTGGGCCCTGTTCATGCTGCCACAATTGCTGGGAGTCCAGAGGTGTGTCGGTTGTTCTGTGTTTAGAGAGCCTTTTTTCCTTGGTGTCCTCCACCTCCTCTGGCTCTTCCTCTCTTTCACCTCCTTTTCCACAGAGTTCCCTGAGCCATGAGGGGAGAGTTTTTATGGAGACAACCCATTTAGGACTGAATGTCCCAAGGTCTCTCACTCTCTGGAAGTTATCTGGCTGTGGGTTTCTGTAGTGCTTTTCACCTGCTGCAGAAGGAAGCTTCTCTGATGACAGCTGAGCAATGATCATGGATTGCTGAGAACAGCAGAATGTCATTAGGCATAGTTTTCTTGCTGCATTACTTTTGTAGAACAGTAGTATTTGGCTTTACCCTAAATCCCTGGGCTATCTAGTCTCTGGTTCTTGGCTACCCAATCAGTGTTGGTTATGGCTTTCACCTCATGGAGTGTGTCTTAAATCAAACCAGATCTTGGTTCATCACTCGCATAAGCTTCATGTTACTTTTGCACCAAAATGTCCTGCAGGCAGATTACCATTGTAAGGTGGGTGGTTTGTAGCTGGGTTGGTGTTTACGTTTTTCTTTTGAGAGGGTGCAGAGGACCTTCCATCCCAGGAACACTACTCTGACGGCGTGAGGGCTCTGTGTAGGCACCAGTTCAACTTCTCCACGTTCAGTGAGTTATGCTGGTGTTGTCTTCAGCAATTGGGCTCTACTGTCAGTGTGTGGAGAGCAAAACCAGCCTGGGTTGTTTTACAGTTCACTAAGGTCCCCCTTAGACAACAGCTAGAATAGATGGAACCCATTTCTGGAACAGGAGTCTGTATTTGGTTATGAGAGATGTCTAGTTGGGGCTCTGTCTCCCTGTTACTTGGCAATTTCACTTAGATTGCCTTATATGTATGTACATTAAGAAGCTTCTACTCTGTTATGTTTTTATACTGCTCTTCAAATGGGTCCATATTAGGTTTTCCAGTTTTGTTTTTGTGGAGTTCTCGTGTATGTGAACATGTGTTTCTCTGTACCTATAGTTCCTGTGTGTGTGAACATGTGTTTCTCTGTACCTATAGTTCCTGTGTGTGAACATGTGTTTCTCTGTACCTATAGTTCCTGTGTGTGTGAACATGTGTTTCTCTGTACCTATAGTTCCTGTGTGTGAACATGTGTTTCTCTGTATCTATAGGTGTTACTCACCCGTGTGTGTGAACATATGTTTCTCTGTATCTATAGGTGTTACTCACCCGTGTGTGTGAACATGTGTTTCTCTGTATCTATAGGTATTACTCACCTGTGTGTGTGAACATGTGTTTCTCTGTATCTATAGGTGTTTCTTACCCGTGTGTGTGAACATGTGTTTCTCTGTATCTATAGGTGTTACTCACACTTTTACTTTGGCTCCTTTGCTTCTGTTTGTTTGGTTCTATTCCAATTTGTTGTTTCTGTTTTTATCTTACTGTACTTTGTTATTTATTCCTTAGATGTCTGTTTGTTTTCTAACAAGAGACAGAAAGGATATGCATCCAAAGGAAAACGGAGGTGTTGAGGAGCTGGGAGGATTTAGAAAAAGGGAAACCATAATCAGAATATATTATATATATATCTATTTTCAATAATAGAAAAAATGACTAAAATTTAAAAGAAAGTATAGCCAATCATAAGATCCCTTTGACTCATCCCTGTACCACACTGAGACAGATATCCCCATTTAAAGTGACCCACGCTCAACCCAGGGGCTTACATAGGAGGGTAGGAGGTGGCGTTCTTCACAAAGCTCCAGGGCTCGGCAGGTTGTGGTGGAGCAAACCTCAGGGATCCAAGAGGGGGCTTGGCAAAGGGGACTCCCAGGAAGACGGCCACAGGCTGTTTGAATCCTTCTAAGTGGACATATTTCCCCAGGACTTTGCCATGTATGGTGTTTACCAAGGGTGGTGAGGATGGGTGTCCTGGTGGACATGAAGAAAATGAGGACACATCAGAAAGGAAAGATCAGACCTGGATTCCAGGTAGGCTTTGTCCCGTCCTGGGCATGTGACTTTGAACAAGTCTCCTCAGTCCTACGAGGTTCCAATTTATCCCATGTAAAATAAGAATAAGGACAACTTTTTCCTAACAGAGAAATGATAAGAAAAGGAGACTGGATTGGTTGTATAAAATCATCCAATCACATTTGTGCAGAAAGAAAAAACACAAACAAACAAACACATCGAAAATGAACCAGACATTGTCTTCTCTCTTAGAAGCCTGTGGGAACGTTCACTTATGAGGCCCTCAGTGCGAGCTGCTTGCTCTGTGAGAGGATGAACGGAGGTTAGCCACCAGGCTTGTGAGCTGTTCTTGGAGGGAGAGGAACAACAGACACACTTCACCTAAATAAGGTAAAACAGAGGTTGTGACCTGGAAGAGGAACAGAAAGGGACCACAACAGCTGAAAGGACTGAGGCCTTCTGAAGGATGTCATCTCAGAGGAACTGTGACTTTCCATCAAGGAAGAATGAATTAGGAAAGATGAAAAGTGTCATGGTTAAGCTTCAATAAACAGTGAAGAGGACTAGAAACAGTGTGACATGTGACCTTTCTGGGCAGGGCAAGTGGCATATAACATCACCAGGTGCAGTCTGAAAAGATGGACGATGATCTTGGAAAAGCAGGGGAATGTCAGGGAAGACACAAATACCTGCCTAAGGATTAGGTTTCATTTAGTGGACAAGAATAACAAACACAAATGGTTCTAGAACATTCTTCTTGGGCCTCTGAGCATGATTATTTAAAGGAGAAAAGAGTGGGCATCAGGAACTGGTGTAACATTGGCTCCATTCTTGATCAACCATCAGAGAGCCCCTCGTTTCCCTGAAGCTGCACACCTGTCCTATTCTACCTGCTGTGGGACTTGAATGAACAAACCCCATTCTCCTACAAAAGACCAAAAGATACGTCGCATTGATCATGGCCAACTCTGACATCTCTTGTTTGCACTCAGATGCACAATTTCCTAGGGTGTCCTTCATAGGACATGACCTTATCCTCCAATTTTTCATTTAGACCCTATTGGATACAGACAATATGCAAATAACTCTCTTAAAACATATAGACATAGAAGAAGAGAAACGTCTAGATTTGATAACTCAAAAGAACTATTAATTTGAAAAAGGACAAAAGGAGTTATATAGTATGGTTTCAGGAAGGAAAGAGAAAGGAGAAACTTTGTAATAGTTATAACCTCAAAGAAATAAAAGAAATATTTTTTAAATGAAATAAAATAGAACATGTCCATGTCTTGATTTACTAATAACAAATCTCATCTTTGTTCCCTTTGCTTTCAGGTCACCGACCCACTGGGACGGCTTTCTTACCAAGTATGTGTGTTGAAATGTCCACGGGTATTAGCATTGCTATTTTGTGTGAAACCAAGACATCTGTATCTGTACTAGAATGTCATTTTATAATTAGGGGAAAGAATTAAGAAGAAAACTGGAAACATTTCAATGCTGGAAGGTGGGCAGTGGTGGGCAGCTAGTTATCTGTTTGAAAATGAGAGTACACATCATGACTTACACATCTGAGCAGAACAATGTGAAAGAGTCAAAAAGATCAAAAGTTTATACACTGGGGAGAGCTAATGTGAAACTGAGAACCATAGCAGGAGAAGGAAGCACACAGTACTAGGAACCCAAGGGAAAAGGGGAGAGAGGTTGCCAAGATTCGGAAAAGCTGGGTAAAGTCTGGGCTGGAATTACTAGGTGTGGCCTGTGTCAACTCAAGATCGTTAGCCACCCAACTGAGGTGTGAAGAAAGTAAGATTGCTCCGAGTAGAAATGTGGACATAGAGACAGAGGCGTGAATGGGGCTACAGACGCTGCTGGAATGTGTGCTTATTGACCACCTAGCAAATGGCAGATGTGTTTTCCAGATCTTTCAGTTTTTTTCACCAAACCCTTGAGGGTAGCGACTATCAAGGCCATGTTAGAGATGAGGAATCAGGAATCACAAGCAGCCTGGCTGACCTTCCTGAAGATGGAAATGAGGAGGTCGTTGCCATGGAAAACAGCAGAGCAGGAATGTTCAAACATAAATCTGAACCCTTTCTCATCCTGCTTCACACTCTGCTCCCAGACCCTCAAAATGCCACACAGCCAGAGAGAAGACAAAGTCTTGAAGTGCCAGCATTACCACTGCCCTTAATGGGTAGTAGATTCTGCAGCCAGAGACAGAGCTGGGCATGATTCCTGAAGACATTAGTTGTCACTTTCCCCGGGAACCTCAGGCCCCCTCCACTTGGTTGCCAAAGCTCCACATTGAACCCCTGCACTGACCATGGATCTGATTTTTATACATGTTGCTTTGGCATTTGAAGCTCTGTTTATTGGGGTGAACTGTCACTCTTGGGGTCCAACCACTGCAGAGACATACTGGGTCTCCTAGCCTGGACTATCAAACCTGTCTTGATAAGTTAAAACTAGGTACCAGAAAACCAAGCCCAGCCTTTACATCTCTGAACCCCTTGAAACAGCCCTAACCAGCCAAGGCTACACCACTGTCCTCTGCTTCCTTCCTTCTTTCTAAGAAAAACCGCAACAAAGACCTTTGCCACCAGTTTCCACTCTGCCCTGGCCTTCAGACCCCAGTGCTATAATAAATCACACCGGCTGCTCTTGGTATGATGATTTACATGCCAAGTTATCTGTGAGTCTGCTGCATTTTAAGTCAGCCCCTTTCTACATCTCCTCTAGAGCAGGCTGCATCCTGGACTGCTATGGGCACAGCCGCTGATTTCAGCTTCATGCAGTTAAGTGAGGAAGATGTTGTTGTCCCTGTGTTAGAAACACAGTAGTCTGGGCTGTAAAGCGTAGTACCTTACCCAAGAACACAGAGTCCAGACACAAGCTAGGATGTACCCCTGCTTTCTGTTACTGTTGTTTATGCTTTCAATATTTTGGTTAGCTTTTTCTCCATGCCCCATGAAATCTAGACAAAGAATAGGAGGTAAATTATTAACTCCTGCTACAGAGGCAGGAGGTTATCCAGGACCTCCTCTGCCCCTGATATAGAATGAAGAGGCTTAGAATATGTGTCCCCTCTGTAGCTAGAGGGTTTGAATTAGCAACACCTCCTAGAAACTAGGCCTGTTTTCCCCACATTTCCCACATGCAGCTCCGTAAACAAGTGCCCAAGAGAATTTCAAATGTGTGCCTTGGGCTTTTATCCAAGAGTACTCACCCTGAGTCAGGCAAGCAGTGAGAGAGATCAGGACCAAAGCACAGAGCCACATCATGGAAGGACAGTACCTCAGGGTCCAGTGAGGTGCCTGGTTCTTGGAGGGAAAGCACTGGTCCTGCCCACAGCTTTATATCAGCCCCTGAAGTCCTGCTCACTCTGCAAATTTACATAAAACAACCAAATGAAAATCCCTGACCCAGAGCTCTCTGGGCCTCTAGTGGGACCTCTAAGCCACACCCACCTGGATTTCACTCTCTCTTTTTTGCAAAGTCATTGCCCAATTCTCAGATAACAGAGGTCCATAAACTAACCCAAGGACTTCTTACATAAGCTTTCTTCCTGTGGCAGTCAAACCTCAGTGTTGTGAGCCATCCAGAGGCAGAGACTAGCTTAGCAGGCAGAAGATGCTTTGGTTTTGCATCCCCAGAGAGGGATGGGAGATTTTAGAGCAACTCAAGGCCTCTGAACACCTTAGCTCCAAGATTTGGATTCGCAGTTTAACATTCTTGCATGTGTATTTCCTAGAGTTCTAAAATCTCGTGCTTGGAAGCAACCTTAAACTCTTGTCTGCCTCCTTTACTGTCTGAGTTGCCTTTAGTGTTTCTGTCAAGAGCACCTATGTGTTAGTGCCCTCCGTCTTGTGAGGGAACACACTAGCTTGTAGAGCAGGCATTTGAGGGTGGACTACTCCCACATTGAACCGATCCATCCCTTTCTGTTCTAATCACTGTGCATTCAATTATGTTTGCTCATTCTTAAGTATTTGCTAAAATGTCTGACATTTCCTTCCACAGGAAAGAAACTGGGGAAGTAAAAGCTACATCTAGCTGCTGAGGTGGTTGTGAGCTTAGTCTTCTTGGGTGGAAGATTGAACCTTTTCCACTTCCTACACATAGCAGTTAAAATAAATCAAGAAACACAGCATTATTTCTAATGCCTAAGCTCTTAAATAGAAACTTCTCACTAAGAATTCTGAGCTTTGAAACTTCTCACTAAGAATTCAATGTCTTTTGAAAGATTATTTTCAAGAGACAGTGTTGCAGCATTTCATTTGTATTTTAATAAATAAATCTTGCCTGAAGATCAGAGAGCAAACCAGCCCCAATGATCAGTCTTACAGACCAGGCAATAGTAACACACACCTTTAATCCCAGTAACCACACTAGTTTGCCATAAATACCGGGCGGTGCATGACTTTTATCCCAGTGGTGCATGCCTTAAATCCCAGCAATAGAGAGGATTATAAAACGGGAGGAGACAGCTCTCAGTCATAGTATTGTTCTGAGATTCCTGGAGGCAGGGATCACCATTTTCGAACTGAGGTTGATGTAAGGGCCAGTGGCTGGCTGCTTTGTTTTTGTGGTCTTCTGGTTGAACCCCAGTTTCTTCTGTGGGTTTTTATTAATCATGCTTCATGACGGGTTTCAGTACAGCCTTTTCTTAGATGTGTCATCAGAGGTTCTCTTATTTCCACTGTCCACTCGGCACTTCTTGCTCCACCCTGTCATTGCTAGTTCTCTTATTTTCCCCACCTCGTCCCTGTTCTTTCAGACCACACGTATTCCATCAGCCTGCCTCCCCAAGTTCTCTTCCTTAATCAGTGTGCCACTTTCCCCCAAATTAGCAACAGATCTATCATGTGACCCTTGGAAATGTACAGATCCTTGGTAAACAGCCCAAGCATTTTATTTTCTACTATAGAGACATAACCTCATTTATATTTGTAGCTGCTTTATTCCCAAAAGCTAGGATGTGGAAAGAGATTGTATGTCCATCAGTTGATAAATAAATAATGAAATGTGATACCTCTGTATGATCGAATTTTATTCAGCTATAAAAATAAAATTATGAAATATTCAGGTAAGTGAATGGAGCAGAAAATAATCATTCTGAGTGAGGTAACCCAGACCCAGAAAGATAAAGGTCATATGTTATCACTCATTATATATCTTAGTGTCAACGTTTTAGATTTCTGTGTTTAATTTTGACTAGCTATAGAATTCAGAAAAGTACCATTTGTGGGAGAGAGAAGGAAGATCTTAGTCAGAGAGGAGATTGTAAAACAAAGGAAAAATGGGTTAGGGAAGGGGGATAATGGGAGGGGATTAAGTGAGGAGAAGGATGAGAGGATAGGGTAAAGGAAGGATTGGGAATGGGGGGTTAATAACAAAGATTTTTGAAAAGTAATTATTTTGATATATATGTATATTCATATAAAATATTAATTGGTGTTACAGTACATAGAGACTAGCACTCCTCTCGGAAGCCATCATTTACCAAACTAAAACTGAATTCCAGGTCTGAGATTCCTCCACTAAAGTTGTAAGTCAAGGGTGTCTGGGAGAACCCCAAAACAGTACAGGTTCTTGCCACTGCTCTGGTAGCCCAACAAAAATTGACAGCAAGATCCTGCTACTAAAGACAATACACACACATCCATTGGTCACATGGCAGGAGAAATCAAGTTGGTACAAAGCAGGAAGCTGCCACTCTACTGGCTTGCTTTGATGGTACTAGAGAGGTGGCAGGTAGGGTGTGGGGTGGGAATTATGGACAGCCTTACCTAGCTGTGAACCCTGTGACCTACAATAATGACCTATAGATTCAATAGTGACATAAATGTTATAGGAGTTACCAACTGCCTTCTAGTCAGATTTACTGTCTGCTGCACAGGAGGAAACTCATACCTGCTACTCTAAATCTGACCAAGAAGCCATGATTGTGGAGCTCATAGGCACTGAGGGTGATCCTATTACTATTATCTGATAAATGGAAATAATATCAAACTGCCTTCTAAATGTATATCTTTTCTTTGAGTGTTGTTCAATTTTATTTTGTGTCTGTAAGCTTTCTGTCTGAATGCTGTTCTGTGCATCGTGTGTCTGCTGTGCCTGTGGAGGCCAGAAGAGGACTTGGATTCTCTGGAACTGAAGTTACAGGTTCTTGTCCCTGTGTGGCTGCTGGGAACTGATTCCAGGTCCCAGCAACAAGTAAATGTAAAGAGAGCATGCGTCAGTGGGGTACTCAGGCACAAATGGGGCATCTGTGTCGTCCTCTCCTAAAACTCAGGGGTCATTGTGAAAGAGGGGAGGAGGGATTGCACACCTAAGGGTCAGGGGGAATTAGAGCAAAACCATGTCCTTCTTGCCATGACAGGACCAATGCATTCCAGACTTCACAGCAGTTGTGGCTGCCTGCAGGAGATCAAGCCAGTCAACATTCCAGCATGGAGGGAAGGAGCCACGAGCCCCCACCACTAACTTAGAAGCTTTGGAAAGTTTCTGATTGCTAGGGTGGGGAGTGTCTGTTCCTTTAGGGGTGTGGCCACTGGCAGGTTGACTATACTCCTGTGAATTGCCACACAACCAGTATGCAGCCCACACCTGTAAAGTCCTCCTTGCTGGCAGCTACTCCTATACTCTACAGTTTGCTGCTAGGCTCCCTAAGCAGTTCTTGGAAGTTTTTATGCCTTTGAGCGGTGATGGCGTCTTTCTACTATGAACACACAAAGACTATTCTGAGAAGAGGGTTGTCACTCACAGTTGATGTCCCGTGCAGGCTCCTCTCCCCCTCCCCCCACAGGTATGACTGGGAGCATGTGGAAGAAGTGACTGCTGTAAGCTCCATGGCAACCACTCCAGAGAAGAGAGTATTTTCTGGAATGTTTTATTTACTTACATGCAGTGTAGGAAGAAACTGGGAAAAGGTTTCAGACTAGGTCTTACAGGGAATAATCTGTGCCCTCTTTCTGTCTTTCCACTAGACTTCTAAAGGTAAACTAGATCTGTGTCCAGGACAGGCTGCTCCAAACTGGCAATGAAACCCACGCACCAAGTAGAAAACAAGTAGATTTTCTAGATGTAAAAGGGCCCGTATATTTCTCTTTTGAAATGTGGAGGATTGATCCGAATCTGAACTGTGGACATTTTTAATATAATAAATAAATGTGAACAGAGCATGGTACAGAGAATACTGGCTTCCAGAATAGGTCCACCCTCCCTTTCTTTCTTTTTCTTTAATTAAAAATAGATTCTTTTCTTACAATATATTCTAATTATGATTTCCTCTCCCGCCAGTCCTCCTAGTTTCTCCCCACCCACGAGTGGGTTAATTTTAAAGCTCTTCTTCTCTTCATTTTCAATAATTTTTAAACAAAACTGTAATGAAAAAATGCCCCCAATCCCCCCTTTTTTGCTTTCCCCAGTGGGTTGAGAATTCTGTTGATTCATGAAAATAGATCTGTGAGGTGCTTTGTGCATGAACTGCAGAAACACTCAGTATCCACTCTTGCTACAGGTCCACTTGACTGTGAACACCTGACAGACATCCACTGACAAAGCCCATGATGGGTATAAACTTCCTTGAGTGTCAGTGTCCACCGATGTGGATCCATTCCACCTTGACCAAAGGTCAGAGAGGTCTGGCCTATTCCTACACCTTCAAGGTTATGCTAGGAGGTTTCACCTAGGGTGTGGTTACTAACAGAACGCTTTTACCTAGGGCATGGTCACTTGATGATTTGGATATTGAGGAGGTGATTTGTTTGTCCCTTGCATCTTGATAAAGAAGGTTTTTGCTATCCCCCTCCTGTTTGGATTGGGATACATAAAGACTATGTGAAATAAATGTGGGTGAATTCAGTACTTACTGGATGCCTTCCCAACTCCATCCTGTGTCTCTGTCTTTGCTTTTATGTCTTTACTTTTCCTACCTGCCATTTCTTAATCCTCCTGCGTTCCTTCAAACATGAACAATAAGCTGGATGGGACCTGGCTGATATCACCCGGACACTGGTTATAGCACTTGATTTGTGGTTCTCAGGAATATTATTATACCCTCTTGTCAAGGTTGCATGGGGTGTGCATCACTTCAATAAAAATCTTTAGCACTTCTCCTCACATTCATCCAAACATCTTACACCTAAAAGGAGAACCCGAGCCAGTGTTCAGAGATCTCCTTAAATGTGACATCTTAATCAGAGCGGCTGTGATTGCCTACAAAGAACGCACAGAATCCAGCTGGAGATGCTTCAGCACAGGTGATCCTCAGCAGAGTCTGCTCACTCCCTTTGCCATCCCACCCCTGCTGCATATTATTCTGCTCCAGCTGTGTCATCTCCCAGTGTGCTAGAGGAAATACAGAGTGGACTGTTAGCTGAGGGTGGGATGCCATCTCAGCAGCTCCGGGTAGTTGTCCACCATGCTCAGGGAGGATTTTCATGATGCAGCTACTTTCTCAGTACACTGGTATGAGACCCCCTCACTCACAAGGAAGGCTGATAAATTCGGACACTGGTGGATCAGGAT